TTCTGTTTTTACTCTAGCTTCTTCATACTCCAGCCCATGTACTGCCGTCTGCTTCTTTCCTGTGCTCCATGTTTGTAAATTCATTACTGCTGTCGAAAGAGACTAAGAGGTAATGTAGTCCTTAAAATACGTGTAAGATTTCTGTTGGGGAAACAGGTGGGTTTTTGTTATTCTTTATTAGAATATTCTTCCACTGTATCTCCCTTTATTTCAGCTTTAACATGTAGTTAAAGGATATAGGATTATTAAGTCAACTAAATAGAATACATTGAAAGTAAGTGTCAGAAAAGAGATCTATTGTATGTTTTAAGGATTTGATATGTAACTCAAAATTACATTTTGTTAAATTCACCTGTTCTTTATAATAGCCTGTAATTTTTAAACTGCACTCAACAACAAGGTTTTTCATTTACTTTGTCTATATGCTTACATTTCTACACACGTCTTTTAAGTTAGCAAGTTATTTTTTAGAAATATATAATAGTAAGTTTATATTTTATTCTGTTATTGTTAAAGTGCTGAAGAAATTCCTGATGATGTAGATATGGAAGAAGAAAAAGAAAGTGAGGATTCAGATGAAGAAAATGATTTTACTGAAAAGGTTCAGGATACAGATAACACGGATTTGGGAGAAGACATTGTACATCAGTTGTCAAAATCTGAAGAAAAAGAACTGAGAAAATTTAGGAAAGTAGACTACAGCTGGATAACTACTATCTAAGCCTTGGAGATGGGGGAGGGTTCTTGCTTTGTTTTCTTTTAATATGTCAATATTCAAAAAAATATCTATTTTAATGTTATTTCTGTTTTTAAAATAAAATAGTAACAGGCTTTACCTTTTGAGTAACTGGTAATATGAAGCTATATTTGAATCACACCTTACAGTTGCTGGGTTCATTCATACATACGTCTCATTTTTATCTTTTTGTTGTTGATATTGTTATTTTAAGTTTGCTACCAAAATTCATTTGGTGGCCAGATATGACCTGAATTGATGTTAGGTTTTCGATAGTCCTGATTCATCCCTCTTAGTTTATTTGTTTCTCTTAGAGAAGGTTAGAGAAATGATTTGATTATATGATGTTTCACAGACCCCACTGAGGGTATTATATAATAATACAGAATATCTGGCTCTAGCCTTTCGGATAAAGGCTTATCTGCCATATTTGTAAATATAATTGTCATGACCACTTTGGAAGATAAGGAGAGCTGTTATTACCCTATCAGTGTTATGGCTGTGAATACAGGCACTCTTCAGAGATAGTGGGGGTTCAGTTCCAGACCACTGCAATAAAGCAAGTATTGCAATAAAGCAGATAGTAATCTTTTTGCTGGTGGAGGCTCTTCCCTTCAATTTGTAAAAACCACAACATCTGTGAAGTGCAGTAAGACGAGATGCGTGGACTGAGTCCAGGAACAACTGTTTTTTAACCAAAGTCCCATTGCTAATAGAGAAGAATCCATCTCCTCTATTAAAGTAGTGAACTTGCTACATTTTAACCATTTAGCATTTGGAGTTTCCAGTTCCCTGACAGACTTCTGTAAAATTTAAAAAGTTAAGGAGGCAAAGTGGGTAAATCTGAGCTCACCTCCCATGAACACATTAAAATTACAACTAAACTGTAGAACAGCCATCACTGAGAACCACCTAACAATGAGCTGAATTCTTGTAACTAAGGATGTAAAGAAGAAGCCACGCACTTGGAGACAGGTAGGGGCAGACTTGGTCCAGTCAGGTCCCGCACCCACAGAGTGGCGATTAGGGAACGGGAGGGATAGTTTGGCTGCGGAGGTACCCTGCCCCCCTCCAACTCAGGACATGTGTCAGAAGTGGAGTCCCCATAACAACTGGTTTTGAAAACCAGCGGTAATTAGATTCAACAGAAACAAAGGTCAGTGGAATGGGGGCAGGAGCCTCGGGAGGGAAGCACTGGTGTGCGGCTCCCACTCTTTCTTTGTTAAGCTNTAGATGCTCAGAGTACATCAGTGAGCACAATAGTCAAGTCTCTAAACTGGTGAGGTTTACAGTTTATCAGGAAAATATAATAAATAACAAGCATGAAATAGCTAAATATGTAGTATTTTAGAAAGTGACAAGAATTATGAGGGGAGGAATACAGGCAAGGGGGGCAGGAGATACTGCTTGCATTTAAACAGGTTGGTGTAAATTGGTCCTAATGAAAAAGACGGGCTTTTCCTCAGGAAATGTGGAGCCTCTTGAAGTGTTTTGATCAGAGAACTAAGGAAAAATTAATTACTTCTCTGCCTTCATTTTTTTGTTTGTTTTTTTTTTCTAGAACTCCTATTATTTAGTGCGGGACCTTCTATACTGAGTGCTCAAATGTTAACTTTTTCCTCCTGTTCTCTTTCTGTTTTCTGGGAGATTTCCTCATTTTCATCATCTAATCTTTTTTTTTCCTCCCTTTCTTTCATGCATAGTCCATTCCGTCAGGTTTTTGTTCTCAGTCTATTTTGGACTGTCTTTCATTTTTGGAGATTTTCATCAGAATCTGATGATGCCTGGCTTTCTGCTTTTATTTAAAAGTGAGCACAAGCAAAACAGCCATTTGGATGTTCTCTGCTGAATGGAACTTCTTCTCTGGCCTCTATTATTTATCTGAGCTATTTTGAGAAAATCTCCAAAGTCTTTATTTTTAGGTCCTTTTCTCTTAGGCTGGTCAAATTGCCCACATAAAGTTTTTTAAGTTCTTACCTGAATAATGTCGACCTAGCTGACAGTGTTCTGAGAAGCACCCTCCATGCAGTACAACTGCCTTCAACTGTGAACACGCTACCCTCAGCCCCCACCGAGCAGTGCAGTCTAAAGACGTGCTTTTGTTTCACTTTTCACAGAATATGCTTCCAGCCCTCGGCTGGGGCTGAGGAGAGCTGTGAATCTGAGTGCTCTCTGAGTAAACTTCAGCCAGCCTACCTGGGCTGTTTTAGCCCTCTACAGAGGTACCGTTACAATTAGTACCAACTCCTCAACACCTGCTGGCTTCTGCAGGCTAAACTGGGATCCTTCTTGGCTTTCCACAGCCAGCCTAGAATTCTTTCTTGGGGTTGCTAAGTTACTTACCACCCTTCAGCCTGCTTTCTAGCTTCTAAC